AGATCTCCAGTTCTTCTATGAGAAGATCTCCAGATCTTCTATGAGATCTCCAGTTCTTCTATGAGAAGATCTCCAGTTCTTCTATGAGAAGATCTCCAGATCTTCCATGAGAAGATCTCCAAATCATCTGTGAGAAGATGTTCTACGAAAATATCTACAGGTCTTCTATGAAAAGATCCCCAGATCTTCTTTGAGAAGATCTATATAACTTCTATTAGAAGATATCCAGATCTTCTATGAGAAGATCTACAGATCTTCATGAGGAGATCTCTATTAGTAGTTCTCCAAATCGTCTATGAGAAGAACTCCAGATCTTCTATGAGAAGATATACACATCTTCTATGAGAAGATCTACAGGTCTTCTATGAGATGGCCTCCAGATCTTCTACGTAAAGATCTCTAGATCTTCTATGAGAAAATCTCCAGATCTTCTATGATAAAATCTCCAAATCTTTTATGAGAAGATATATTCAGTCAAAAGGACTCCGATCTTCTATTTGGGGATCTACGATTCTTCTTCAATGGATTTTCTTCCTTAATTTCTTTGTAAGCTACATGGAAGAGTTTTTCCCGCCAATTATAGTCCGAATCCTTTTGAGGCCCACCAAAATCTTATCATTATTTTAACCCGACAATTTTAGTGGATTTTGTCTCAAAAATCCATTTTTAGTTTGGTTCCAATACCCAAAATATTTTGCCTGTGCCCCAGTGGCGCCCAACGTTAAGTGAACATTTCTCCCCTCCTTTTTATATATGTATTTACATTTCCCGAATATCTTGAGCTATTCATGTTTGAAAACAAACTTTCTTCAAGAAAAAAAAAACTAAAACAAATAAACAAATAAACAAATGTGACCACTCACTTTGAACTCCTGCCACTAATGATGACAGTTTCTGACTTTTAAAAGTCATAGCTAATTTCCTGCGAAAAAGTATACGAAACAATTCTATTTGCTAACTTCATAGAGAGGGCATATTTTGTAACATAAAAAGCAGTCTTTTGGTTGGCTGTAACTCATTGCCAGCCAGCATTTCCCTTTGTTACTCGGATATAAATATTCCACACAAAAAGTCCCCACATTTTCAATGGAAAAGCAAGCAAAAAAGGAGGGGAAACAAATCCAGTAAAAGGGTAAAGACCCAAGACACTGCAACGCTTGGTTCTCTGCTCGTCTGCTGGAAAATCGCGTGAGTGTTGAATTGTTTGTGGGTTTGCTATGGGTTTGTATTTTTGTGTGTGTGTATATTTCTCTCCCCTGTCTCACTCCCGCCCTCCATAGATCACATAATAAACGCAGGAAATACTTAAGTCAATAGTTTAAATCCTGTTGCGGGTTCCACAAAAGCCCAAAGGGAAACAAGGCCCAACAACTTGAAAAGCAATTCAAACAAGATATTGGAAGTGAAGCTTTTTTTACACATGATTGAGTTGAACGATTTTGTTGCTTTTTTGAAAATGTATTTCCTACCACCTCACCCTGCCCCACCTTGGTCGGCTGTCATGACTTGGCGTGGCAGTTGGCTTGACTAGGCTTAGAAATTAATGTGTACAGGATTGGTTATGGAGTTACGAAGTAAGTGAGTTTTCCATTAGACAATAAGGCAGACAGTAAAAAGGAAAATAAAAAAGAAAGAAAATGTAGAAATAAAGAGAAAAATGTGTGGGCATAATATGCGTTGGTGTCTATTGTTATTAGGGTAAAACGGAAAGCATTTATGAATCAAGGAAACGTATTGAGATTTTTGGAGTGCTGAAGTATAATTCGACTTCATCATCTTGGCATGATTTTCTCCGTTATATCCAAATATTTCAGCAATTGTCTCGAAATAAAAATTGTGAGAATATTAAAAAGATTAACAAGTAGTGATGGCTGGAATTAATCAATAGTAGTATTAGAATTGTATCCACCTGGCGGTGAATAGTTACAGCTAGAGTTATCACTCAATACGAAACCAGCATGAGATGTTATGCATATTATATAGTGTGGGGGTATAACTTCAACTTCATTTGTCTAAACTAAAAATCGAGTGGTAATGACTGGAGTTAATAATATTCGATGTGATCGAAAGCCCCTTGCGGCGAATAGTTTCAACTACAGTTTTCTGTACATATGATGTCAACTGCTAAAGTGAAGTTGGTTGTGAGTCAAAATACGAAAATTGGAAAAAATATTTGCAAGTTATATAGGACGTTTATCTTATGAACTTCAGCAGAACTGCCTCTTGAGTGAAAGCTCGACACTCTGAACTTCTGAAACTGCGGCGAAGTCAAAATACTGTCGAAACATGAAAAATACTGCGATGACTTCAGGATGGACTTCAAAAGTATTTTAGCATAACAATGAAATCCAAAATAGTGATATTTCTTCGAAATGAAAATCTAGTGGTGATTGCTGAAATTAAAATATATTTCAGATGCGATTGAAACCAACTAGCGGCGAATAGTTATAATTGCTGTTATTTACCAGTATTAAATCAAAGCACCAAGTGAAGTTGGTTGCGAATCAGTATGCTGAAGTTGAACCGTTTGATAAATGAGAGTTAAATTTTATGGCTGAAACCTTGTGAAACTGTATAGAAACTTACAAGAAACCTATAGAAGTTTTAATCGAACCCTTAGCTGTAAATAACTATAAATATTTAGATCTGCTAGTATAAAATCAACTGATGAAATAAAGTTGGTTGGGAAACAAAATTCGAAAAAATACATAAAAAATATAATATGTTATGGGTCGCCCTATGACATTAAAAGTTTATTCTTCTTCCGTTAAGGGAGAGTGTGATCTTCCAAGTCTGACCTTGTGAAATTTTAGAAATAAAATTGCTTAAATTATATTCAGTTCTTAAAAAAGGTTAAGGCTGCAACTGAAATATACTGAAGTTTTGGTTGGTACCCTCTAGTGGGCCATAGTAACAACTCTTGTCATCTACAATTACGAAATTAGCTAATCCTGTGAAGTTGGTTGGGAATTCATCTTCGGATGCTGAAGGAAATAATTTGCAGCTATTAAATGGGATAATTATATATTAGTTCTTAACATAAGAGGGTAATACAACAGGAAACCCCATTTATTTATTAACGTATCTTCACAGAACATCTAATGTCAATAGCCAAAATCTAGCGGTGAATAGTTACAACTGCTCATTGTGTAGAGTTGGCTATGAATCACCATTTGGAAAGATGCAGAAGCAGATGATATGCCTATGATGGGCGGCAGTTATCTGCTACAATGGGCAACTTGTGTCATCTTCCATTTCGACTTATTTTATGTTTGCCTAGCGGCGAATAGTTACAACAGTTCATTGTGTGAAGTTGGCTGCTGATTGTATGAAGCTGATTGCATGAAGTTGGCTGTGAATCACCATCAGAATAAGTGTAAATGAAGAAGCTTAAAGGAACATTTTTCTTTTCTAAGAATAAAACTTAAAGAAAAATGATTTCTGATCGAAGTGGAGGAATTTGTTAATGTCAGTTGAGTTAAAGCGAAAGCGTACGGAGAAAACAAGCAGAACTTTTACTACCTGAATCGTATACCATTGCTAAGAACTCTAACGCAAAGTAGGGGCCTTTGAATTAGCAGTAAAGGAAGGATTACTTATCTTCTTCATTCAATCAATCGTTAAAACCTGGCGGTTTATAGTAACAACTACCCATTGTGTGAAGTTGGCTGCTGATAACCGAGAAAAATGTAGGAATTACTATTTCAACTGCATCTGATTATCTACAGATTAGAGTAGCTTAATTTAGTGACTTTAAATAATTACAGATCTGGTATCTCTGGTGAAGGGACAACCTAGGGGCGATTATTTGCCGCTTTTCATTGTATGAAGTTGGCTGCTGATGCGCAAGTCTGGAGTTAATACTCACGGGTTATTCAAAAAAATGTCTTGTCTCGCAAGTGAAGAGAAACTTAATTGTCTATTGACAACCTATCGCCGATAACAGTTACAGCTGTCCATTGTGTGAATTTGGTTGCAGACTGCTGAAGTTGGCTGTGAATCAAAATCAGAAAAAGTGTAAAGCTGAATCTTTCTAGGCATTAGGGAGCAGTTTTCTGTTTTTATCATGACTTAAAATCGAAGGGGAGTTAGGTTTTATTAGCTGTTGAGTTATACGAGGGCGAAAAAAGAAACTGTACTTTTAATTTGAACTACGTCCGAACTTCCGAACTTTTTGGATAACTTAATTATCTGTGAAAAGTTGTACAGTTCTGGAATCACTACTCACTGGTCATTCTGACAAAATTCTGCCTTATATCTCAGGTTAAAAATAATTTGTCTTTTTTGACTGCAAAGTTAGAAATGAGCTATCATTATGTGAATCGTAAGTTATTTTTAAGAAATGTCAAGCAGCGTAATAGTCTTCGGAATTATTTAGAAGTAAATAATTATTCGTTTTTTTAAGTCGAAACTGAAATTGTGTATCCAATTTAAGCTTCAAAGAGTAAATAGTAGTAGAGTATCAGTGAATATTTTGTGTAAACTTTTGGTCCTTCGAGATGATGCCAAATTGATTTTTTTAATTATCTCAGTCATTTGAGGACTTAGCTATTATGTTTGATCCTTCGTGGTTGGTTCTAATCAATTTCTTTTACTATTGTATGATGGCTCAGTGCCTTTTGCAAATAATTTTGGTCCTTCGACCTAAAGTAAAATCTATTTATTTATGTTTCTTTATCAATGCAATCATTCATATGAACACTTTCCATTTGGTCCTTCGACTTAAATCCAAATCAATTTCTTACTTTTTTTTCTTGTATACTTTTCTCAACACCCTACGTTTCACAATTAGCCATTTAATGATTGCCTATCACATTGAATTAATTGATTATGTTGCAAATAAAAATAGAATGTTGTAATGAATTTAAATGAAGTGCATTTTACTGATGCCCCATAATAGATATACATAGTTACAAAGTACGAACGTACGTGCAAGCACAATTCTATTTGATTTATAACTTATTTCCGTTTTTTTTTCTCTTTCTCTTTTTTACTTTCAGATTCACTTGCAAAAGCAGTTCTCACAATATTGAATTATTATTGTAAATCAATTTGAATAAAAATAATAAAGGTAAGTTACTATTTAATCACATTGTCAGTCTATTGGCTATGTAAATTGCTAACAAGTGTTAAGGGGGGGAAGGGGCGAAAGGGGTGTCTTATTACATACACCCTGCGTAATTTCTGTTTAATTTACAATTTCCATAACTAAGCTAACGTAAAAAGTCAATATTTGTTGGTGTCGTTGGACTTTGGTGTGCCGTAAACGGATTCGAATAATAATTTACAATTTTATGAACGTCACTGAATGCATTTTGTAGAAGTGAAGGTCGTCGTTGTATGTAGTAACAAAATTTCGTGTAATTTGTTGGTATTAATTCCTTGGAGGTTTGGAAATTAGGTTAATTTGTGTTTAGCTTGTTGTAGTAAAATCTATTTGACCTTCTGGCCACGAAAGTCATGAGGGGAGAATTTAATGCATTATTAAATTAGATTTTGGGAGATTGTAAACAAACTTATGATAATCTTTGTAATAGAATTCAGAATAACATTTTATTTCACAAAAAGGGTTCTATAGGAAATAATTCTCATTGGGTTTACTTTTTCAAAACTATAAGATAAAAGGGGAGAGCATAATTTTAACTCATAGCTTCATAAAAATAAACCTAATGAGAATTATATTTATGTAGTTATTTAACAACATTTCCAGTTTTCTAAGTAAAAAAAGGCACTTCTATAGTTCAAAAAAATCTCCAATAAAAAGAGATAAAGAAAAATGCTCAAAATAAGTACTTCCTTTTTATACCCTCCACCATAGTATAGATATATTAAGTTTGTCATTGCGTTTATAACACCTCGAAATATACATTTTAGACCTCACAAAGTGTATATATTCTTGATCAGCAAAAATTCAATGTCGATTTAGCAATGCCCGTCCGTCTGTGGAAATCACTCTAGCTTCCGAACGAAATGAAGTAGGTTGATAAAATTTTACTCAAATGTAGCTTATGTCTGCAGGACTTTTGGTATTGAAAATGGGCCATGTAGGTTCACGTCTTCGTATAGCCTCCATACAACGGTACCTCCCGATATTTGGTATTTTGAAGATTTTAGCGACATTATTTACCGGAATTGTTTCAAAATTGGTATTTAAAGTTCGTAATGCGTACTACATCCTAAGACAGAAAATGAGCCATGTAGGTCCACGTCTTCGTATAGCCACCATATAAGGGTACCTCCCGATATGCAGTATTTTGATGATTTTAGCGACATTATTTACCGGCTTTGTTTCAAAATTGGTATTTAAAAATCGTAATAGGCACTACAGCATAAAACAGAAAATGGGCCATGTAGATCCACGCCTTCGTATAGCCCCCCATAACGGTACCGATATTCGGTATTTTGATGATTTTAGCGACATTATTTACCGGAATTATTTGAAATTTTGTATTTGAAGTTCGTAATGGATAGTACAGCCTATACCAGAAAATTGTCTGTGCAGGTCCACGTCTTCGTATGGCCCCCATATAGCGGCACCTCCCGATATTCGTTATTTTGATGATTTTAGCTACATTAGTCACCGATTTTTAAGTTTCGCATTTGGATGTTGTAATGGCTTGTGACAAATGTTACCTATGCAGGTCCATGTCGTCGTATAGACCCTACATTTGTTATTTTTAAGATTTTAACAGAATTTTTAACGGTTTTATTTTTTTGAAAATTGCCAAATTTGTACCAAATGGTGGAGGATAACTTACAGCTTTTTCACTTGTTATAATTTAAATCGATTGAAATTTATCCCCATGGCATTTTGCACGACGTCGAAGGACCATTTTTTCCGCTGACATTAAACCTTGTATTAACACCTAAAATCTCCCCTCTTTAATTTTATCCAACATAATCTCCATTATTAATTATATTTTTGTCAAGGGAATCTTAAAGTCATATACAAACCACAATATCATAAAAATCTCCCCCTACAGCAAGCATTCCCCTTTGTGGAACCCCACAATATCACTCCCTTGAAGTTCGTTAAACTTTAGGTTCAGTTAGAGACTTTCTTTCCCCTTCTTATTTTGTAATACTTTTAGCAAACAAATAGATAAAATGAAATGAAAAAAAAAAAACAAAACGGAGGGAAAGCTTTTGAAACTCCCAGGCTTTGTTCGTGTTGCATAATATGGCATTGTAACGCCAAAAGAATTCCCTCATTGCAAGTATTCTGTTGTTGTTGTTGCGGATGATGATGATTGCTGTTGCAACTGCAACACATCTGTGCCACTTGTGTGTCAAGTAAAATACTTGAAATATTCCACTTTTTTTCAGAATTTTTCGTAATTGTGTGTAATTTTTCCACACATTTTTTTTGTTGGGTATGAATATGACAACATATGCATATATATGTCAAGCTTTGGAACTTCATGCTCTCTTTCTAGCAGCTTTGGTTTATCTGGAAAAGTGGAAGAACGAATAGTCGGGTAACTCTTTTCAATTATGGAGTGCTGACACAGAATGAAGTCAAATGGAATTGGGGAAAGAGGATGATATTACTATTGCAACAGAGTAGGGATAGCACTTCGAAGTCCTTGGTATTTTCAATATACTTAGAATTTTGCAGAACCTGCTCCCGAGCGGGATTTCTTAGAGTGGAATTTTATACGGAGTTTACTCTTCGCTCTTTTGTTCTGTGTGGGAGCGTTCTCGAGTGACTCCTGTTTGAGAAATTAAAGTGAGAGCCGAATCGCTCGAAATAGGGTGAGAGTTTACTCTAAGAATGGAATAGAATGGAAAATTTATATCGCCTGAGGGCTTTTGTGTGTGTATAACAACAAACCGGTTTTAAAATTACTGTGATTACAGGTCAAGCACAAAATATGGAATATTGCCGCCACTCTAAAATGAGCAGACGGCGTTATGATACTACTGAGGGAGAAGAAACCTAACTTTATGTGCAGAAGACCAGAGTCGGCTCTGAAACTCGCATACAACTAGGCCAGATCAAGAGGTCTTAATGTATACCCGAAAAAAAACTGAGATATGTCTTCTTAACAGGAAAACAAAAATGGGTTACTTCCAGTCTGAACCAGTCTTCCTCAATAAAATCATCAACATTTCCAATAAGGTTAAATACTTGGGCGTGACTCTAGATAGGAAACTTAATTGGAGAGACCACATCCAAATAAGATAAAATAAAGCTCATAGATGCTGGGCAAGGTGTAAAAGGGCTATTGACTCTGAAACTCGCATACAACTGGGCCAGACCAATAGGTCTTAATGAAAAACTGAGATATGTCTTTTCAATAGGGTCTCAATCCAAGGATGACACATTTGGCTATTCAAAAGCGTAAGTAGACCTTTCGTAACATACGCATCAGTGGTGTGGTGGACAGCTATGGATAAAAAATGCAATACGAAAATATTACAGAATGTTCAACACAGGTGCTGCTTAAGTATCTGCGGTGCAATGAGGGCAACACAAACTAGGAGTGTGGAGACAATTTTATATGTTCACCCAATAGATTCATTTTTCAGATAAATAAAGGCCACGAGACATTCCATCAAAAATTTTTACAGATAACAACGGGAGAATGTATGGGAAACCTTGTATGGGACAGGATGCCTGAAACAACTGTAGCTGCCTCCTGTGAAACATTAATTCCCACCAGAGACTCATGGATCGATGAATTCTTATTACAAATGTCCACTGGAAACTGTTGCTATACAGACGGCTCAGTGTTAGGGGGAGAGTGGGACCTCGGACCGTAATTTCATTCCGCTTGCCCGATCATATTACGATCCTTCAAGCGGATGTCCGTGCGATTGCAGACCATACAGGATGAGATGAAAAAACTGCAACCCCCTTCAGACTGCAAGTGGACAGAAGAAAATAGCAACATTAGGAGAAACGGTTCGAAAAGTAAAGAAGCGACTTGATCGAAACCCGAGTCGCAGTGGCCGAAAAATGGCTCACGAGCTGAACATATCGCAATATTCCATTCGTCAATTATTGAGAAATGAGCTCGGGGTAAAGCCATTAAAATACCAAAAAGAGCAACAGCAACAGCAACAGAAAGAAAATAGGTTTAAAAGAGGTAAAGAGTTGCTTAGCTTGGCCGAAAGTGGTGAACTGCCGAATTTGGTTTTCTCCGATGAGAAAACATTCGTTGTCCAAAAAAATTATCATGTTTAATTGCCAAAGAGGTCAGCTGAAAATGTGTACCTTCGGTGGCCACCAGATCTCAAGCCCTGGCTATGGTGATAATGTGGGCCGCCATAACTGCCAATGATCGCTCTCCGCTCGTATTAATCGACCGTGAAATCAGAATAATTGCCGAATATTATCGCGAAAATATTCTGGAGGGTGAATTAAAGCCTTGGGCACGCAAATATTTTGGCCGCAGACCTCGGACATTCCAACACGACTCAGCACTATCGCACTCAGCATGCCCCACCCAAGAATAGTCACAAAATAAGGTTCCTTGCTTAATTTCCAGCCCACAATAGCCACCAAAATCTCAGGATACCAATCCGTTGGAACATTATGTCTGGAAAAAAATACCAAAGTGTTGATCACCTCAAGCAAGCGCTTAGCCAGGAATGGGCCAAAATACCGCAGAGCAACATGTGACGGCAGCGTGTGACAGTTTTATTGGCCGTTTGAAGGCCATAATTTGTGCCAAAGGTGACCAATTCGAACAAATCTAAACTTATTCTAAAATTTGGTGCTATTGCCGACATATTTTGCTTTCATTCAATAAAATTTAAAAAAGAATTGAAAAATTACATTGTTTGACTTTGTTGCAGTTTTTTATCTCACCCTGTATATTCTGAATCATCGTAAAATTTTAAGACGATTTAGCCTAACAACTTCGTCTGCAGCTCCACGTCTTCGTATAGCCCCCTTATAACGGCGCCTCAAGATATTCGATGATTTGATGATTTTTGCGACATCGTTCACCCGAACGGTTTCAAATTTCGTATATGAAGTTTGTAATAGTTACTACAGCCTATGCCTAAAAAATTTCGTATGCACGCTTTCGTATCCACGTCTTCGTATAGCCCCCCTATAAT